AATTCTACTGCCTGGAGCTCACGGTATAGTCCATTTGATAAGAGATAAGTGAATAAGACGAATCTAACGGAAGCAGACTTTATACCCGAATTCCCACGGTCACAGGCAAGCACGCGGCAGTGGTTTCCCGGCAATACCATTGCCATTCACTGGAATTTCAAATCTTGCCCTCAAACTGCGCATTCCAACAAGCAGCGAATGTGGTGAAGGTACTACGCCGTTCGAGTTCGAGAACGCTTACTCAGCTCTGCTAACATAGGCGGCTCAGGAGGCTTGCGCGGCAATACATACGATGTCAATCCGTCGTTACTGTATCGACGAGTTTCGGTGGAGCAAGCAATTAGCTCTCTTCCACGGTTTTGTTCATGTCAACAATGTCTGTGCTTATGTATGAGGCTTTCCCTGTTCAAAGCTCATTAGTAAGAACGAGACTCATATTTGACGGATACTTCCTCACCGAATGAAACCCTTAACAGTGCTAATACAATACTTGGAAAGAGGGTTCGCCCTTGAGGAACCTTAACTTCACTTCTTCAAACGTCCACTAATTACATTTGGAAAATGTGACTCCTTTTCGAGCTTTTCAAGCCTAAGTTGACCATTAGATCTTTCGTCTTGAGCTTTAAGGTTGGGGATAGGGAGGGAGGGGGCAGCCATGTAGTGGCGCTGGCACATGCGTGATCCGGGGATCAGATCCCGACCATCCGAGCCAACCGAGATCTATATCCCTTCGGTGTCGGTTAATTGGTACTACACTCGTATGGGAGACTGAAAGTTTTGACTTGTACTTGGATGGCTTCCGCTACTTATTGCATAGACCCCCGGCATTCGAAACGCCTTTGGAACTCTGGACGAAAGTCAAATGAGGGGCACATACCTGAAAAGGGATCGATCAGCCCTGGAAATCCTTAATGAATCTAGTAAAAAGATTGAATAATGCGTAGATACTTCAATGCGATGAAAAAAAGAGATCGTAATCAAGGAGTATTCAACTCACTGGTTTACGCCGACGACGTTTAGTTGGGTTGCGACGGCCCTTTCCGACGTTCGAGTGGAAAACAGGCCGAATAGGGGATGGTCGTGCGGGAAGGGGGCACATGCGATTCCTGGTCTTGTGCTCTTGCCAGATAGCAAGCTCTGATGGTGCCATGTTTCGTTTCAGTTGTCGAGTGTATAATCTCAACACTGTGGTAACCCACCTCTGTATACTCACTCTATAAATCCTCTCCAGCTTTTCATACCGCAATGCCGGTGTAGTCAAGATATTGCTGAGATCTGACACTTTTCGAGACCACTCAGAGCTGCTCAATGACTGTTCAACTCGTCAGCACTGCCTTTTTATGTAGGCAGAAATCTGGTCGATGGTTCTCTACAGGCAACTTCCCAATCTCTCAGCACAATTTCCGAAGAATACAGAAATATAAATCGCTGATGGTGAAGGAGAACAGGTGGCTGTATGCCTCATTTGGGAGGAACTGAGGTATTTGCCACTTTTCAGGACGTGTTACCCTAGGATATCACACTGAGTCCATGTTCATTTTAGAAAACCTACGTCTGAGATTTCATGAGTGTTGAGTTTTTAAGTGGAAGATGAAAAAACCGAGAGGTCAGGATATCTTGGGCAGTACTGACTGCACAACCTTACGCTTGATCTTAAAAGTGGGGAGGCTCACATTCGCGAAATCCAAACTGAGGCTATCCCTTTAATGGGATGGAATCTGACCAAGGGTCTATCTTTTTCTGTGCCCAAGCAACACTCTTAATTCTTCCATACCATCGCCGATATACACCGCATCGTGCTCCGAAACCCATCTATCCTTTTTTCTCAACTACAGTACCGGGGCTACCCTTCTAAATTTTCTTTATCTTTTCTATTTATTTTCTTTTTCTTCCTTCGTTCTTGCTTTCTTTTCTTCTTTCTTTTGATTCATTTTCTTTTTTAGAAGTGCACCCAGTCTGGAGCGGATGTGGTGTGCGCGCGTGAGCACTGCTGGATCCCGGGATTGAATCCCGGGACCGAGCATTGCTCACGATACCCAGACAGATCGACTAGACTTCCATCCCTCCAGAGTTGGACAAGTACTACCCGACACGTCTTGAAGGATGAGAGCAGTGACTCGTGATAGGCTCCATACGCATTCACAACCTCATCACGATTATTAATGGAAGTCCAATGCTGTTTGCAACCAAAAAAGGGAACGGTAGAATCTCAAACGTTTTTGGGAAAAGGAAATTCCAGAGCAAGATTCACATTTCATTCTGTTAAGGGGATTTGCTAGCTGAGCAGACAAATTCAACTCCCCCTGTGTGACAGTCAGTTTGTTCTTTCGTTATCTACGCTAAGCAAAAAAAGAAAGTTTATATACAAATCAAGGTTCACTGAAAGAGTCAAAAATTCATCTACTATCCAAAGCGACGGGGACCACCGAATCCTCCACGTCCGCCACCGAAACCTCCTCGTCCACCGCCGAAACCTCCTCGCCCACCACCGAAACCTCCACGTCCTCCACGTCCTTCTAAAAATTTGAAATTCATATGTAGTTTTCGTCTTTTCTTTAGCGATTTCACTGCCCAAAATTGAGAAGCATAGCTCATAGTTTTACACTTCGCTTTAGTGAATTCAATGAACCGGAAGGTTAGGCCCGCATTCTATCAACAAAAAAAAAACAAAAAAATCAGACAATTTCCTACCATGAGAATGTCCTCGACCACGACCTCGTCCAGGTGAACTGAAAATGAAAGGGATGACGAGCATTCTGTGACTTGCTATTCAAACTCAAAGAACCCTGACGTTTGACCGATTCTTTTTTGTTGACATATTAGATAGGTGCATAAGTATCTCAATATCTCAGTTGATACCGTTAATCTCAAACTTTCTCAAACATTCCCCAGAAATAATCTTCACTCATCTCTGCTGTACTGTACTGTACTGCACTGTACTGTAGTGTACTCTACTGTACCGCATCGTACTGTACAATCAGAATATTCTCGAACTAATTTGAATGAACTCAGGAGCAGCTGCATAGGTGCTTATGTGTGTATGCCTGAATAAAAAGAGAGAGGGTGAAGACTACTAGCGCTGAAGGATCCTGTTGATGTACAAATCGGAGCATCTCCCTCTTAGGGGTCTGGAACTGATTATCTGACCGTGTAGGATGAAAAGCATGGTAGATCTGAACGAGTATTGGTCCCGAATTCGCGCCCTTTGCCACTTCACCACCTCCGCCTATACCTACATGGAAGATTCAATGAAACATCGGATGATCTGCAGGACTTATGCACCAGCCTCCGTTCGATTGTTTAATTAATGGAAAAGCCAAAGAAAAGACAGGTATAAGGTAATAGACGTAAAGAAATTATCTAACCGGCCATGGCTGTGGCTGTGGCTGTGTCCTCTCCTAGCCTCCACTCCAATACTGCCTGAAAAGCTCAGAGATTGCTGTAAAGCATACGATTTATCAAGGCAGAAACCTTTGTTTTCAAAGAAAAATTTGGAAAAAGACAAAAAACTAACTGATGAACAAAACCGCTAAGAGGACCAGAATAATGTGTTTGAAGAGCATGGTATGGGTGTGTGGTTGTTAAGCAAAGGACTCTTTTTTATATTAACACCCGTAGGGCGGAGAGATATCATTTCATCAAAGACAGTGTAACAATGCCTATTCGGTGAAGTATGCTTCAATTGATGTTTGGTTACAATTTTCTCGTCGTTTTACGACGCCGGCGATAAACCGATCATCGCAGGTCAACTTGCCGTCAAGGGACAAGAGCGGAAGGGGAGCGTCGTCACGTGGGTTACTATGAGAACTGAACAGAAAGGAGTGTCTCTGCTGTCCCGTCATCAGAGAGCTGGGAGGCACCAAAGAGTTTAAAGGCGTAAGCTGAATTTTACAAGGTGAGTTTCGGAGAAATCCTTTTGTAGCCCCAGACAGGACAGTGCTTGCTACATAAGTCGACAAAGTCAAAACATTTAACTGTTCGGGTTCAATAAAAGGGTTTACAGTAAAATGATTACAGTTTACAGTAACCTTAGCAAAACTACAATAAAGTAAAGGATGTTCATGATTGTAAGAAGTTCCGGTTTTGTCTGGTCGTCGTAGTGGTTGGCCTCTGAGTTCAAGGCTCTGAAGAAGGCGAAGAGGCCGAAACGTAAGCTGGATAGAGTTGTAAATCTTGGAAAGGCACAAAACAGCTCAAGAGACAAAGGATGTTTAGCTTTTAAACCAACTCCGGTTGATGGGGCGACACGCATTACAGTGGGGACAACTGGAGTTCAACAATCGCCCAGTGTTACAGGCCAGTAAATGTCTCCAGCTTTGATGCTCGAACTGGTCCCGTTCCCAACTTCGAGAACAAAAGTTCGGATAACCTAGGTAAGTGTCTCATTCTAGGTTGCCTTACCCATTCAGAATTAATCGTTTTGAACGGCGTTTGTTCCTTTTTAGTTCTGCTGGTTTCAGAGTAATACTAGTCCATTTAAGATGGGGATGAATGATTTTTAAGCGGTTCCTTGCCCATCTGGTAAGTGTCAAAAACACTAGATGATCTTCGCCCTTTCACGGATTATAAGAAGAGACATCGGGTTGACGGGAACCAGTTTAGTTGACGTAGACTATCATACTAATAGACTGTTTATGGGCATAGTTGTGGTGCATGCCTTTTCTTTTTCATCGAAATTTTTCAGCTGACAGACTTTTTTTAGTTTTTTCTAAACCGCCTTCGTGGAATCGCCTCTTTCTTCTGAATCTGATCATTTTCTGTAGACGTGTTTCAGTCGAATTGAGTTTGGGTTCTTTTTCCGTCCGTGCAAATCATGCCGTCTGTCGTACAGCCATTTGATTTGGTATGTCATTCATTTACAGTTACAGAAGTGCTTCCAACTTTGTCCCAAAATCCTAGCTGTAGCTGTCCATCCAATCCATCCGACTGCTTTTTCTAAATAAAATCTCTATTCAGTCGTCAAGTAGTATTGAACATTGCATTGATGGATACCATGCTTTTTGGGCTTATCAAGGGCTTATAGTAGGTTGAAACATAGCGATGAGAGAAACTCGTACAAGTGAAGGCGTTCTCGTCGAAGTGAGACGGTGTGGTGAAGTGACGAAAGTGCAGGCCTTGTTCTGGCCCAAGTAACAAATCTCTTCATTTGCAGAGTTTTGATGAGAACTCAAGATAGTGGCGTTATCGTGTTCAAATTTTCATAACACTTCTTTTATCGAATGTAATGTCCCTCGCAGTGTCCCCAGCCGAAAGAAATGCTTAGGCCATGAGCAGCATCGAAAAAACTAAAGCTTATGACTCCCTTAGATAGGGAAATACTAAAAACACCTTATCACCGGGTGATCCTTTTGGCTATGTACTGATTCTGACTTTCCTAAAGCATCCTCTGAGATAGGTTTTGATAACCTACTTAATTAACCTTGAGAATTTCTACTAGTTCCGTTCATGTTTGATAAGGTCGTATTTGGCGATTATCGAGTGACTCAGCGATGAAAACATGAGTAGAGATAAACATTCAAGAACGTCCCAAAGACATTTTGCAGAATTGGTATGGGTAGTTGCTACTGTAAGGAAACACAAGTTGTTTTCCAAATTGCAAAAGTAGCAAATGTAGTCCCAGTAGAGGAGATCGCCTCCCAGGACAGACGGTTTTCTCAGAGAAGAACGCTCCAAAATGGTGACAAGAAAGTTATCAGTCACCCCGGAAATGTGTCTGGACCCTCAACGGCGCAGGTGCCGTTTCAAACCTGAAAAGTAAAGTCACTTGTATCGAAATAGTATAATAATAGTAGATTTTCCAGAAACCCCCAGCTCCTATGGAAAACATTCACGGCCTACATTGGGCTATGGCAGCGGTGTTCGTTGTCGGGGATATGGCCGGTGGTGGAATGATAGCTCTACCCAATGCATTAGTCAACGCAGGTTTGCTTCCTCAAATACGGCGCAGTCCATTTTCGCTTTCAACTTCGACTGGAACTACCGTTGTTGTGGTATCCCAAAGAATTTTAATTGAATTGAAAAGACTGAAAATTGACCTTTTGGGAGCAACGTGAGGAGTTGATATATGGAGTTTCAATAGTTAAGGCTTCTTTTATCTACCTAAAGTATTATGGGCTCTATGGAAAACATTTGTAAAGAAATAGACATGTTCAGGATTAATACCAGGCCTGATTCTTATTTCCCTCTGTGCATTATGCTCCGGATATACTGGACTACAGTTGGCATATAATTGGACGATGTTGCAGAAAAGGTGAGGGCATTCTCTTGGAATTCAAGATCTGTTCAGAGGACGACGTCAATGACTTGATGAGGGTTATAAATAAGAAAGCTGCAACAGCAAGTCAACAGAAACACGTTTTGGGAGATGGTGATGCTCAGGGTGCTGAGCCAAAACTTTTCCAGATGTCCGCCTAGAATAGAGCAACTTGTTGTTCCGGTTACGTCGGTTCTTGCTGGAACGAGCTCAACAGTACTATGCATTTATCTTTTTTACATCTGAATTCTCCTTATAGTCAGACCCAGGCTATCTTTTTTGTTTTCGCGATTTCTGAACCTTAATTCACCATCTCATCGGAATGCCTAAGTAGGAACATGCAATCTGTGCATGCTGGTGGAGCTACTCAGCGTCACACGCTGGTGATCGAAAGCTCGTGCGTTATGCATGATGAAATAGGTTCAATGAGAGCCGTTGAGGAATCATGGACAGGAAATCTGTTTACTTTTTCTTTCGAAAAGAAAAAACGAAGTGTTTCAGGTGGCCAATGTACCGTGGGATCTGTCGGAAGCCGTACGGCGAGATAGCGTTTCGAGCCTGCGGCCAAAGAATGAGGTAAGCTCTGGCTCACCCTTACCGATAGAGATTACTAGGGTAGATGATATTCTAGAAAAGAGGTAGCTCTAGAAAGCAGAAACAGCAGTCAACCGGAATCCTTGTTCCCTCAATGATACACTATCTCGATGAGAATGAGTATGCCACTACGGTATTCAAGTAATGTACATAGGAGAGATCCTCCATAGCCAGTCCGCAACCTGAATTGAACAACAAGGGAAGACAACATAAAACAACAACATAACTACTTTGAAACAAGGATTTATGATGTGCAAATTTACTGTAAACACCACCATGAGGAAGGTACTCGCACGAGACTGTGCGCCTCCTTTATGGCTCACACTGAGTTCAGAATTTCCTTCCTGCAAAGAGCTAAATTAAAGGGTTGTCAGGTCATTCATTGCGGTGATGGTTTGTCTGACACAGTTTGGCTTCGCTACCGTGCTTATTCTGCTTGCTGCCAAGAATACAGCAATTCTGCTGCATTTCTTCTTCAGTATAAAGGTAACTCGTTCTTGAACCAATACACATTTTTGGTAGAAAAAACGTTTCTTTGAAGATAAACTTTTGCTGGCTAATCGTTATTGTCGGGTTGATAGTGTGGCCAGCTACGATGCTCAGAAGCCCGATGCATTTTTGGTGTGTTTTCTACCGACTAAACCCTTTTTCCTATTTTTTATGAGAACAGTTGATTTGAAGAAAGTACTAATTCAGGCAAGTCGCCGTATTCTCAGCACTATCCAGTTCTATCGCTGTTTGCTTGCTGGTGATCGGTTTTGTACACGATGCTCCAGTTTGTGGGCAGGTCCTCTTTTTGTGACAATATCAACAATACGGCCAAGATCTAACTCGAGAGACTTGTTCAAGAGAAATCCCCACGTTAGGTCGATGTTTACTAGGTGGCCATTGTTATCTTCCTGATTTCCCATAGATTAAAAGCGATCTTTATTCAAGGTTAAAGGTAGAGTGAGGAACCGTTAGAGAAGAAAGTTCAGAAGAGTGAAGGAATAGTTCACTAATTTGGTCTGTCTCAGGCAATACTGTCGTTCTGTACTCCAAAAGAGCGCTCTGACATATATATGTATAATGACTGTGGTGTAGTGGCAATTGGCCATCTATTACATACGGGCGGTCACGGGTTCGAATCCCGGATCGATATCCGCCTATTCTTCCCATTCCTCGGGTTGGTTAATAGGTACTATGTACTGAATTGGTACCAAACTCGTTTGAGAGCATAAAAGTACTGACTTGTAAATCGGCAGGCCACCTTAAGTCACTCTAAAGGCCACGTTCGTACTCAATACCCCACTACGATTCTAAATGGAAGTCGAATAGAGGGCGCATCACTCAGATGGGATTGATTAACGCCAAAAGACTTTATCCTTTTTTAGTGTTACTTTATGACTGGCTCGAAGAATATATTTTAGGACACCTCATATCGAGCATTCGATTTGCGAAACTTCTTCATGGCATACGGCACAATGGTATTCGCATTTGGTGGTCACGCCGTATTCCCAACAATACAAAACGATATGAGAAAGCCTCGTCTTTTCACACGTTCCGTTTGGGTTGCGTATTTTTGTACGTACCTTATCTATTTACAAATCGAGAAACTCGTAAACACTATAACTTTTTCTGGATCAGTTCACCGTGCCCTGTATTCGAGTAGGCATCGTATACGTACGGATCAAGCTCCCATTATGGGCTCGGTAGAATGGGTGTAATATCGTTCGTTCGAAGAGGAGGGTCTAGTTCCTGAACAGGGGCCATGTGATACCGATAAAAACTCAAATTCGAGCAATTTTATTTTTGGAGTGTTTTGAAGACTGCTTATAGCCTATTTAAACTTTGCCCACTGATCCCCTCAGTCTACCCAATCACCGCTCCTCACTCCCAAAGTTGGTTAGCTAAGGGGATTCAAAAGAGAGTTCAAAAGGATAGAGTAAGAGTCAGCTGTATCACCGAAGTCTTATCGGCTCACTCTTAGCCATAACTGCTACAATGAGTAGGATTTCAGTAATCGTAACTTATTACGTCGTAATTTCTGTGATGGGCTATTTCATATATGGAGCATCCGTGGGTGACGCAATTATACCCTCTGTACAACTCCAATGGGTTCAGCAAACTGTAAGTTTCTACATTCTTCTACCTCTGAATTTAGCCCTCCCGCCCGCTCAAATTCATTATTTTTGAATTCGTTCAGAGCTTTCCACTGTCATCGTGTTTACTGTAGACCAAGATAAACAAGTAACTAACTTAATGCATTGTAGGTAAACTTGATGATAGCATTACACGTCATTACAACTATTGTCATTGTATTTTCGCCATTGACACAACAAGTGGAAGAAATACTGAGGATTCCACACCGTAAGATATTTCCTTTCACCTACAGTTCATGAGATGGGATTTTTTGTACTCTATTTGATTCATGGGAGGAGGTAGTGTAGTGGATGTGGCGCACTATCGCATGCGCAAGGTTACGGGTTCGAATTTAGAGTCGACATCCAAGCCAACCTTCCATCCCTCTGGGGTCGATAATTTGGTACTAGAGTCGTCTAAGAGGACCAACTAAAAGCACCAACTTGTACATCGACTGGCCACTGCAAATTATTGTCTAGGCCACATACGCATTCAGCACGCCGCAACGATTCGAATGGGAGTCGATGCGGGGGCGCATCCCTCAGACGGAATTAATCGACGCTCGAAGATTTCACCCTCTTTATCCTATGGTTAACTAGTTGAACTAACTTTTATAAATTCAGATTTTGGATGGCAGCGTTTCCTAGTCCGATCTGTACTATTCTGGACAGTCATATTTGTGGCCCTCTCCCTTCCGAACTTCGGTCCCCTTCTTGATTTGGTATGAAATGCTTCACTTTGCTCTTATTTAGCTCTGAGAGCTATTTCTTAAAATTTTTTCTCGTTCTACCATTGATTTTTTCCTTACGTCGAATTTTCAGATTGGGGCGTCGACAATGTCAATGATGACGATGATAATGCCCAGCATCTTTTATCTTTTCCTATGCGCATCAAACAACAAGCGAAAAATTCTGATCAAAGAGGGGAAAAGATCACCAGATGCCCCAGATGACGAAGGAGCCACTTTCAAAGAGTAGGCGGTTATCACTTCACAAAACTTCTTTTCCATGCTGAACACATTACAAGACGGATTTTAAAGTCCTTAAGTCCCTTTTAAAGTGAATGTGTGATACCGTAACGCGAAGACGTATTCGAGCGCCTCCAAACTTTCTCTACAAAAAGGTACCTTGGGCGAGGCCCAGGGGTATGTGTTACGGTATCGTGGGGATTGTATCACGCATCCACCTGACCTTAAAATCTCATGAACTCATTCACTTCCTGTACAAATATGCTGATTCTCGCGAATCGGAATATCAAGCTTAACTTCTTCTTGAACATCAGAGCAACTACTGGGTTATCCATCATTTTTCAGCATTCTTAACTACGTCCCAAGGAGAGTTCTTGTTGCAAACATCTTTTCTCTGGGTGAGTTTTCCACTAAATACCTTTATCTAGCTCGATGTCTCATTATAAAAATTGTAACAGTCTCTGATTAGTAATCGATTGCATGTTTTAGCTTTTGGAATCATCGGAGGACTGGCAGCTACTGGCTTTTCCATAGTAGCCCTCAGCAGTGCAGACGTTGCTGCTCCATGTTATGTTCAATACATCCGGCAAGGTATATACCTCCTAGCTGAATTACAATATCAGCAGCACTTTTGAACCAACATATGTTTTTTCAACTTTTCAATATAAAGATAATGAAGAAAATCTTTGCTATTAAGGTGGTTTACCGTTTGTGGCGTCTCGTGATGGGACAGTCAATTGCTGTGGATTATTCCAAAACATTACCGTTTCTGGAAACAGCCCTACAGGATATTGTTCCGCATTTAGACCAACATGAAAGGGTATGGTTAATTGATTGAAAATAAATTATTGTGTCCTCAGTTGGACTACATGCTAGGACTCCTCTTGAGTCGCCGTGAAACGAGATCAGAGTAAGCTAGTCGAGTTTCAGTTGATGTGCTGCTCGATTCAAGCCGGTTATTTTTAAAAACGTGATTAATTCTGCTGTGACACTGTCATCTTTATTAATTTCTTCACTCGTATGCTCATAAATTTTTTAACACTCTAGATTGCGGAGCTCCATGCATTGGATACCAAGACGTAGTTCAGTGTCCTCGCCTTTGTCAAAGCCTTAAATAGTAAACGGTAAACATGAACTACATCGCATCAAGCGGTTACACTACATCTCTCAAAAGTAATGACGATAAGCCGTGGCAACACATTGCTTAAGTAGGTTCCTTCGACTTCGGCATCGGTTTGGCATCTTTAGCACAGGGTGCTTGATTGGTGTAGGTTGTGGAACCAACCGTCTCACCCGCTGTGCATGATGGCCATTGTAATGTATAAAGTGACTAATTTACTCTACGCTCTCAATTGTTATGCTAAAACAGCGTAATTCGTGCAGTAGCAGGTCTACATGTTATACAACACAAACATAAAATGGAGCAAGTAATTCAGAAGCTTGGACTGTTCACGAATATGAAGTGAGATAAGCACAATATTACATACATATATGGATAAATAGTAGTGCCGAGTACATAAAATCAAGCCATCGATCTACATATTATCCATTGTTATTTATTTTTTTTATTTGATAACACATCACAAGGATGTGACACGAGAAAATGAATAGAAAAATATAATTCAGACACACTACATAATTCATACACAGCATCAAATCCCATTTTATCAAGGGTGTCATTGGTGGCTCCGACATCCAGAATGAGCCAGAACATATAACACTCAGGAAATCACTCGCACCTCAATCCACTGAAGTTAGTTGTAGAAAGGATGGCAATCGCATTGTAGCGATCGGATAGTGGCGAGGCGGTGTCCAATAGCTGAGTTGCTCCGTCAGAAGCTTCATTACCACATAACATCCCGGTGTTAAAACTATGAATTGTGTATGAAGCATAGTGTGCCGAATGACCAATAAAAGTTAGCTACAACTTGCCATTTTTCCGGTAGCTTGTTAATTCCATGACAGAAAGGTATTCACCATTTGAGGCAATCCAGTCATCAACCCTGTTCCGTGTAGGTTCAACCTCACCTGAATGTGGTTAAACCAGTCGGACGTGTCTGGCCACGTTAGGATAGGCTTAGTAGTTTATCAGACGCACAATATAAAAAAAGATGCGTAGCAGAATCAATAAAGACGCCTTATATGTATAGGGTTTGCCTTGTTTTTACATGTCACGTGGCATAGACACGTCACTAAGGAATGAACAAGTCGATACGAAATAACGGAATAAAACCACATGAAACACTACCCGAGTGGCATGACAATGAGATCTCTACACGTCGAAGAGACCCATCCCTCAATACTCCCCACATCTAATTATTTTTTTAAGCATTCCAGCTTACTTCTACCAAACTGACTTGCATGTACCTGGGTAAGTGGTAATTCGAAGAAGTTAGATTCGGAGCGTATACGGGCTGATCAGCTGATCCCATACAGAATCTGCAATTTTCGAGTAAGCGTTCTTTGCAACATGCGACCTGGATTTCCGTTATGAAACAGCCGCTAACATCTTCTTGGTACTAACGGCTGCTTTCGCTGAGGGCATCCTACAAATTGTCAACTTGGTGTTCGTAGCGGTCAGCAATAGCAGTTTTGTTTGGATTCAGTAGCTCGTAGTGCACAATACCATTCAGCCACCAAGCACCCAGCACCACTTTTGACAATGGGTATTCCGCTTTGGCTGTAAATTCGTTGGTTGGCCCGCACACAAGCTGCTTTCCATTTTGGATCTTCGTAGAAGATCAAGTTTCCAACTCTTACCACAACTCGGTCAAAAATGTGTGCTTTTGCGGTTCGGAAAGTTTTTTCCTGCAAGCAGTTACGTGAGTTTCAACCTGCTTTTCTGGCAGTTAGTGAGAAACCCACTTTCCCAGATTTCGAACCTTTCCCATTGCGTACAAGTGTCTGGAAAACGTTACACAGTAGACGTTCAGCTCTAATGTCAGCTTTGTTTGGGCTTAGGCTGAATTTTCAATCATCAATGTTTGCGACCGCGAATCCTCACGCTTTTTTTCCGGCCTAGACATTCCTTGAATTTCAAGCCGAAATCTCCACTTGTAAATCGTTGAAACCATTATCTGCAGGTTCGCTGAAATGGACTTTGTTCTCCATAAAAGTTCTGAAGCATCTGGTATACTTCATTTGCGGTTTTTTTGAAATTAAACAGCACAAAAAGGGACCCTCGGAAAAACTTGTCACGTTGAGTATCAGTCTAGAATCGCTGAGATCCTCCTCAGCTTCTGAATGCGCCTCAGAATCCATGCCTGTCACTTCGGTTTTCGTTCTCCTGAAGAAATTAAATTTTATTGCCCCTGTATGCTGAGAACAATTTTCAGAACAAGCAAAGGCTTCTGGCTCATCTGACAATGAGAGGCTCTTTTTACAGTTGTAAAAATTTTAGTTTTGCTCACTCTTCAATTTCCACTGTTTGCAAAGTAGATTTAAGTAAAAATATGTGAACACGATAAAGAAATTGAGTTTGATTTTTGCTCGTTATTCTTAAAAAATACATTTCGAGTTTAAGGTAAGTGCTAGGAGGTAACCTAGATTCAAAAGCCTAGATAGATGACAATATGATGCCTAACGGCGAAAACATCCATATATATAGGTAAAAAAGACTGTTCAACGTATGCATAGGGGAACACTACACAGAAAGGAACACCAACTGCAAATAGAAGAGCGCTCCCAAGAGAAAAGGTAAGTAAGTCCGACTCTAGATTGAAGAAAATTTCAATCCAAAATAAATTTCTGTTTTGGCGTAGATCAATCAGAAGGATCGAGTAATCGAGTAACCAATACAGCAATACAACGATCATCACAAAATTGCTTTCAAACCTAGAAAATCTCGACATATACGGTTCAATTCTGATGACTCATTTTCACGTCAGGTTTCATCAGCAAAACACGATTTCAGTGAAAGAAGCGCTACGAAAAGAATTATGCTTATGGGGAAATCTACAGGAGAAACCGGCTAAGCTAAATAATCATGTTGTTTAATTACACAGATTACTTTATCAAAGTTAGATGCGATATCACAATGAAACACAAGTGAAAAAAAAGAAGAGACAAGTGAAAAAAGACAAAAAGAAAATGATATTAAAAAGTAGAAGAGAAAAGACACAGGAAAAATCATCAAGCGTAAAGAGCACTCATAAATGAAAGACAGCATATAGAACGCCTTTTCATCAATAATTGTTAACGAAATCGTTTGCAGGAAGAAAACCGAGAATGTGTTTTGAATGTGCGCCAGGAGCCACTTCATGTGCATACCAATTATAAGGAGAAGGTTGGATTAACATTTTTTAAACGAATCCATCCATTTCTGACTCGACGGCGAAATGTTTTCCCACAAAATTATCGATCGTAAAAATGGGCTTCTTCGTCGGCATTGTCGATATGATCTCCTGTTAATAGCATGTGTCATTATAACAACACATTCAAACATAGCGTTTGCGCAGGACACACCGCCCCTACAGTATACGACTGTGGGTCCCGGCCCGAGTTCATGGATATGGCGCAATACAGGCAGCGACCCCGTTGGCTTCCCCTTACAATTAGATACTTCCCTTGCCCAAAACCTTTTCCGATGCTTCTTTCATGATATGAAATGGAATGTATTTGTGAATTTGAAGCTATCTCGTAAAAAAACATGCTGCCCGTGAAGATCTACGTAAGATAAATTCTACTTAACGACAAGGTCATTGTATGAACTGCTTGCCTGAGTTTTCGTGGCTTAGCTCAGAATATGAGAAGCTCGATTCATCGAGGAGAATTATTGCCAATCCTTCCCTTCCCGTGGCATTACCCTAGTTGTGCCTACAAATTTAGAATTTTTATAAGCAAATAAGCTCACCTTCACTACTTTCCGATTTTCATGATCAGGTCCGATTTCATAACTGAATGTGCGAAAAGCTTCAAGTTGTTCAGTACATCGAGTAAATCTGAATATATCGTTACAAAAGATAAAATTTGATTTTTTTTCTGATTGTTGACTAACACTTTTGGCTTTAGCTCTGCTACCTTTTCATTGGGTTGCCAAGGCAAACTTAGTGCTTAAAAGTTCTATTTTCCGATCAACGTTCTGTTTCCTTCTTAAAAATCCTACCTTAACCTCCGACCGGGAGGAATGTAGATTATATCACCGCGTGAGATATCGCGACAATCCAAAGTCTTGAGACGCACGGATGATTGGCCCTAGAAAGAGCATGTATTAGAGCGAGAAACTGAGGAAAATCAACATTCAAGTCCTTTCCCGGGACGAGTGGAAACGAATGTACCTTTGTGGAGCTGCCACTTGGCCCATCTACTTCTTCAAGTTCTGCCGAACCTTCAACTATCACCATAATGGAGGCGCAGTCCAAAACGGGAAGGAATGCTTGGGAAGTATTCGATGGCACCTGCAACCTATGACCGTATAATCATGTTGCAGATTCGGTCTAGGAAGAAAGCAACGAAGCTTCTGGTGGAAAGGCTTACCCGAATCCTGTGCAGCTGGAAATCTTTGCAATCCGGTGAATACTCATCAACTCCAGGGTAGTCAGCAAGAGGTGTGGCTGGTACGAGGTAGTCTTCTGGTGGCGTCATACGGTAGTTGAGGACCTCAAATGGAATGGTCAAGCAACAGAGATCCTGGGACCAAATTTTGAACTCACCTCGCAGAGTGCATCCCTGTCGATAAATTTGGGGGTCATGGCTGCTCGGATTGTGTTGTTCGAGCAACCTACGCATTCCACGCATTCTGAAATAGTTAACTCAGGCAAGACTGATGTTGAGAGCCATCAAACCACTTCGAAAGTAACTGTGAGACGAGGCCGCTTTCTCACAGAGAACTGAAACCGTACCTCCACTCAGGTAGGCATGCAACTCTTCCGCTGCATAGTAGCAGCACTCGCCCGGTTTCAGAATCATATGATTCAGAATCAATGGGGAAAATACGCCAACGTCGCCAGGGAAATCCACTGACATCTTTTGAATCACTTCGACGGTGGCTTCAGTAAGACAACCGCGTACTGAAATTCAAAATGTGCAAAGAGTTAAAAACCGTACGGCACTTCGTTATTTAGTTTTTTCCAGAAGAAATAGGTTTTTACTGATAATTGAGCTCATCGCACATTATTGAACATCGTACTGAACACAAATCATTACCTCCATTATCAAGACATTCAATCAGTTCATCGACGTATTCACTGACAAGATCTGGATGACGTCGAGTTCTTTCCATCATTTCTCTGAAACCAGTTACCCCATGCGATGGCTGTTCTGACAAGAACAATGAATTTTTTCTAAAGTACCCGAAACAAGCAGCTAGAGCCTGCCGGCATTTGAGTGAATATGGGTTCTTTTCTTTGTCTAGGGCATCCCGCAAATTCTCACAGTTGTGACTGTCCATAACGTATCGTAATGGAGGAAAAGCTAAATAAAGAACGGTCAGTATATCATTTTCATTGGTTATTTATTTCATTTTGATTTTAATGGGGCTTCCGACATTTACCCATATTGATTGATATTACGGTAACAATTGATATTACGACATTGATTGATATTATTGACATTAATTTTACGCGCGTGCAACCGGAACTTATTTTCTTATGTGTTTAACTGGTGGGAACAAAACAATAGTACATAGGCCCCAACCTTCAATATTTGCCAGAATTTCATCTGCTGGCCTGAATCCACATAATAATTCAAACTGTGTGAGTGCATATGCAAGTTCAGGTTTGTGATGCCGATCTGGGTAGTGAATTGGATCCCGTTCATGTAACCGGACAGCCTGTTCCTGAAAATACAAAACTCTTCTCAGGAAAACAACAAAAATTCTTCTTAGCAAAGCACTTCATGTGCAGGTTTCTTCCAAAACTCAACAACGGTACACAAGTTTTGTCCCTTTTCCTCATGCGGTATTAATCACTGTAGAAGTTGGTATTATTGTGTTTTCAAAAACGGAAAGTAAGTAGATAAACAAAAAATTACAAAAAAAAATAATTTGTTTAATGCACACATACCTTAGTGGGGTGGACCTGAAGGCTGAGTGATCGAGCTATAGACATGACTTTCATAATGAAAGGTAAGTGTATATCCTCCTTCCAATTGTTATTACTCAAATAACCTGCTGAGTGGCTTTTGGCGATGAAAGATGAAAGTCGGGTTCCTGAGTTTGACAGCATTGCGGGACCATCGGGATGGGTACCCATCCAGAGCTGAAATGAAGAAATTCATGCATATATCGGGTCCCGTTTTATCCCTGCATAGGAATCAGCTGCGCGTCAACGTTGCAGTGTTGGCGGCTACGATCCATTTTCTAGGCTGACACGCTGACATTGTCTCGTGGCCGAGAGTGCGCGCTCAGTAAGAGAAATCGATCTCTAGTACAGTCCTTTTTCGGGGCGATAAAAACCCATGTCATCATCAAGGAGACCCAATCCCAGGTACAGGTAAAATCGATCACAGAAAGGTGAACACACGAAGGTAAAAACGAATTCTGAAGTAACCGAAAATACCTCAGCATAGGTCTCTTCCTCATCTACAACAAAATTCTTGTGCCCGGCGGCGAACAGTCGCGCCACTTCGCTTTCTGTGCCTCGTTTACCCCAGTTATACTTCTTCACGTGACACTCGAGCCGCTGCATCGCCGCCAAGGCTTACACCACTGAAATAATATTGGAATGGATTTGTGGAAAAATAAGCGAAAAATTCGTTCACCGAGTAGACAAAGGACAAGAACGAAAATCAAATCAAAATCAGCGATTCGGAACATATGATGACATTTTGAGCGAATTTGGGACACGGACAGGTGGCGCCATTACCGCCCGCATAGTTTCGGGATCAATTCCCGGATCAATAGCCATCTAGGCCAATGGTTACTATGTTAGCCTGAGAGATAAAAGCCCTGAATTGTATGCATCTCAAAAGTTGACTGATTATCACAAAAAGGCTTTTTTCCCTTTCCTCACATGGCCAAGAATCAGAAGACCTTGTGAGACCTTGTCATTCTCCATCTTGGATGGTCATAACCCGACTTTTAAGGAGAGAATTCCCTTTGACAATTCAGAGTGATTAATTCAGATGCTTCCACTCATGACCAGTAATCAGCCGACATCGTGAAAAGGTAGTGAGAATTGACTCATAAGATATCTCAAAGTCTAATCAAGTACCACATATCCCAACTCTCGAGATCCGGAACCTCCCGAGTAAAAGCTCGAGTCTAGGGTAACATAGGGAGAAAAAGCTTCGAGGATTACCCGAAATAAAAATTAAGAGTTCCCGGCATCCTAACTCAGGTACCAACTCGTTGAATGCCTCCTTAAAAAGCGACTTAAAATAATCTCGTAATGATCTGATTGATTGAAAGACTTGGTATGATTTATCGCTTCCGTCCAAGTCGGATAGTAAGCCAATACATGGATTTCCTCAGAACAATACACTGAGTGAACGGATCGAATTAGACCAGAAAATCCCTCTGACCATCTTCTACAAAAGACGTACTGGAGAAAAAATTGTAAGAGTTTCCTAAGGGCATGTCAATGAAAATAACGGAAGTGAAAAAGAGAAAGAGATCAAGGAAGATAAAATCTAAGCAACAAGAGGATGCGCCTATCAACGAGCTTCAGGCGATCAAAGTGGATTGACAAGAAGTTGTTGACTAGATAAATAATCTCTAATAAATAAATTGTGGATGAGTCACGTTGTCACCGATTCTGCGGTTGAGATTCGACGACGGTCTAAGAAGAGCGGTCTCGTGGGCGAAACTCGTTTTGCAAGCCATCGTCGCCACCCATATTGTCCGGTCGTGCATTTTACCCACGTCCGTCGAATAGTTCACATTCTTGAAGACAATGTGAGAAGGAAATGCCAAAAGGGAAAAATCTGTGCCCCCCAACTCTAAAGATTCAACGAACTGAGCCCAAGTGAAATGGTCTAACATCCCGTAATGTCTTTTATCAAGATACGCAAAGAATCGGTCGGAAATCTTCTTCGAACTAGGTCACCCGTCGCATTGCCATGCAAAAGAACCACTGGAGGAAAAATTCAATAATATCCACTTGAATTCCACGAAAACTGTGACAAAAATCGATTTGACTATGTTTCTCTGTTAAAATCATTCCGGCGATTCAAGAAGCCTCAAAATCAAGTCTGTCATTCCAATATAACTCGAAGCATACATGGTAAGTATAAGAGTTGATTAAATCCATTCACCTTACAAACCTTGACGTGGCCTGTAAAATGGCATACATCCTGGAAATGGGTGGGGCTGGTGAGATGGGTGGTGTTATAAAAGCAGTCTAAGGTAGGCTGCGAGATATGAGGGCTTTGTAAACAACAATCAAAAAAAACAATGCGTTCTTAGATCAAGTCAATCAACTAGCCAAGTCTCTCTGATGCATAGGAGAAACAGAATTAAATTCCAGTTTACAGCTTTGTGAAATATTTAAAAAAGAAGACTGATGCTCAAGGTTGGAAATACGAGGATGTCTGAGGGCGGGTTCCAACTCGATACTCATCCACAGCTAACCAAGTCGGCCATCCCTTTGAAGTCCGCGACCACCACAACTTATTGTATAGGCCGAAAGAAGGCGAACTCGCCGAAACGTTAGCCCTATAAAGTGTAGAATCTTGGAAAGGCTGAAGCAAATAAACATACATATTGTATAGGCCATTGGCTACGCATTCAAAACGCCTCTACGATTCTGAATGAAAGCCGAATGCGGGGCGAATCCCAGAGCGCGATTGAGCATGACCAAAAAACTTAACTCCTTATCATTCAAAAAATAGTTCTATCACACCAGGACCGCAAAGTGCATCGTCTCAGGGATAGAGATTCCACCGAAAGTAATTTTGCCTACTTCATTTTTGAATTTCTTGAAACCTCGGCATTTGTTCTATATGTATTTAGCGCTTCTGTGAAGATATGGTGTTATGGCTCAAACTCCCTGGGGAAAGTGAGCTCACATTTGCACTTATTAGACGCAAATGGACTCAACTTGTAACAAGGGTTCTTCTCAATTTTATCCTTCCAATCTATGAGAACAAACAGTAAGGAAGGAATCTTCTTGAACAATTCCCAATGATCAATTCAATTGAGTGTTCCACTCATAGAGGGTAATCAGTCGACAACATCTTCGATATCTTACTAAGCCCCTTCCCGAACTCTTTAGTTATTATGATTCACTTAACACTGACAAGACCGTATTAGAACGGCATTCTATCACTCCGAACAGGAAAAACCGCTCTGCAAGAATGGTCTTTACTCTCTTATACTCCAATGAAGTCACTTCAATTTTGTGAGGCGATTTTTCTAGATCTTTCCATAATAACCTTCCGAGTAATGGATACAGATGTCTTTTTTCAAGCCAGCAACCGGTTTTAATGAAATGTGAAAAAATAGGAGAAAAATTCTCTTTCCTCGGGATGTCAAGCGAGTTCAAGTAGATTCAGACGTACTGAGCTCTCTAATACTGTTTCGTGGATTGCTACAGAGGTTCAAACTACAACACTTTGCTGATTCATAAGGATCACTAAAATTGCACTGCACGGTTAATAAATCGTGCAGTATAATTTTCAGTGATCCGAATTGATTGGATAACAGAAAACGATAGCCTGAAAAAGGGATATGAGGGTATGGGAAGAGCTGCTTATGCATAAATACTTTCTGAACATTCCCCCTGATCTGTCTGCACGGTTCAGAAAGTGAAACCAATCCTACGTGAAAATCGTGAAGACGGGAAATCGCAGACGGATGCGTGCCGAATCTGGCATTGGATTTTGGACGGAGCGATCAAAGGCAGAAGAGCACACTACGTTAGACTAGAATGTACCCGGATCGATATATTGAATCGAAATCAAACCTGGTCGATTTCAATCAATATCCATGCAGATTCCTGTCACTACCTTTTTTCTCAGCTCATCTACTGCTCAAATTAATAGGTGTCTGTCTGTCTATTTGGCCATGTGAGCCATTGGTGAGGCCAACCGTTGTAGGAGAAGTGCTATAACACTTCCAGATGAGTTTCACCAGCATCCAAAGGAGTGAAAGGTTTGATAGCCTGGAAATAGGAAAGGGATCGATCTCTGATTTGATTTCTTATCGTATGAGCGGTAATGGCGCCACTTAGCACGATACCCACCCCAGCACCAAACTTCTTATATTGAAGTGTAATCTATGATAACAACTTTTCTCGGAACCTCGAAAGCCAACGTATGATGGAGCAATTAAATTTACAACTCTGAACATTCTTATACAAAGCGTCACTTAGGAATTCCTGCAGAGGAAGTGAGGTCTCAGGCGCACTCTAACGATGTGAGTAATAGCGCACAACGTCAATTTTCTGCTAGTATAAAAGTACAATCGAAACAGTACGGTCGGAAGAATGTAAGCAATAGGTAGATTCAAACGAAGGAAACAAAGAAGAAGGCAGGAACAAGTGCTGGGCACGTTTTAGTAGTTTGTTAGGNNGTACAAATTAAGGTTCAACCGATGAAACACTGTCCGTTGGGGAAAGATAAGGTAATGTCTAAGAAAAACGATAACTCCAATGGATAATTCAAGGGCCCTGATAGTACGTTTGAGGGCAGAGGAATTAAACGGCATCCTTGAAGGATAAAGTATGTTTGACGTTAGAAAAGATAGAAAAGGTGGAGATAGAGACTTAGAACTGAAAGCGACCCCCAAATAACGATGGAAATTTCCTGAAATGAGTTCTCACTGGGTGAGCAGAGAACTTACTGCAATCTATGCAATGGACGGGTGATGGCGTTAATTTCGGTTGAAGGATGCTGACAAATGAAACAGGTTCGAGAAGACTAGTTGAAATACCTATACCGGAAGGGAGCCATTAACGTTCACGACGAAAAAGGAACGGTTAGCCGCTGTCTCAGGCTTCTTGTTCTTCCAATAATGTTCCGACAACATCGTAGCAGGTTCAACAACAAAAACTTTGCGTCAGTGCTCATTTGACAAAACCAGTTGTTCTCAGGCAAGGTCATATGGGTAACTTTTGGAAAAAAAGAGGAAAGGTCGTTTTGAAAGATCGATCACGTCTGGTAGAGGTCAGCTTTAGAAGAGAACTGTTCAGGGTCCAGTTGATGGCACTAGGGAAGTATGACTTATGTGTGAAGGAAAGGAAGGAGCCGGTTGACGAGAAGGTGATGAGCGATAGTACAGTGAAAGGAACCAGTGAAAGGGACTGGCACTTACAAGCAGTCGGTAATACTTGTGTGCCGATAAGACGTAACCAGTTTGAGAAGCATGATGTGATTGATGAAGCGTAACACTCTAACGGTTTGGTCACTCTGTCAATAAAAGCGACGACAGAGCGGTGAACGTCAAGCAAAGGGTAAAAGCAGTAAGGGAGTAGTAGTGGTAGTAGTAGCTGTAGCATTCCTTCAATAGCGATCAAACAGATCGGAACAGTACACGGATGGGTTGATGATGGCTATCGCGGGCTATCGTGAACATGATCTAGGTTGACCGGCACAGAGCGCCCCGTTTAACTCCCGCGCCATATCAAGGCGTCTGACGATTCGGAGAGACGACACGTCCATGACGCATCAAATCAGCTCGGACACATTGAAAAATTTGAAATTTCTCTGAAAATATCCCCAACTTCCGGTCATGGAAGATCCCACGGAATTGCTCTCTAATGACATCACCCACTTGTATGCGTTTTCGGTTTCCTTCCCTTGCTTGTTAAACCCCATAGTGGCTGATTGCCTCCCCTTATCCAGCACGTCCCCGGAAGTGGTCCCTCCGCTGCTTGAACCCATCGTAACCCCACGCTTCAGAGCCGAAAACAAGGTGGTCGATGGTGAGCCTTGATCTGGTCAAGCGACTCCGATATAATGGCATTTTCGAATATATTATCCCCACACAAGAGAGCGTATTCCTCTCAAGTGTTTCTTTGAGAGCCTCAGGAACATTTCCCAAGTAAACCTGGGCTTTTATGGCAGATCCTTCCCGAGCGCCCTTACAGTTTACCTATCCCGATTCTACAAAAGTTGCCTATGGTAGAAGCCGTTTCCCATTCGAAGCCATCCTAATTTCGGCTACCCAATGCCACGTGGACCGTCTCAGCACTGCATCAACCGTAGACCATCGCCCATTTCTCGTTTTTGGAGAGAAATCGGGACAAGTTCTCACTACCCAGTGTCGCCTTAACTTCAATATTGCCTTCCGATACGCACAAAAGTTCATTTAAATTTATCATGGGTATCATGGAATGACTTACGTCTCTAGTCTATTACTTGCATGGAACCCCTCCTTTTTTGGCTATATCCTACCTCTCCTTCTTCATTGGTAGCTTGAAAATATCTTGCAAACAATCTTCCCTAGCACGTCTTCCCATTTTCGTTTCCGACTTCGAAATTATTTTATATTATGGTGAGGGTAGGGCAGTGCCGAGTGGAATACTACGCGGGTTGAGGGGTGGGGGNTGGCAAGTGGCGCCCTAGCACTATAACATGGTTCAAACTAAACTTCGATCTTAGCCAAAAGGCCGAGAAGCGATGGTTCAAAGGTCGAACACAAACTAAATCTTCATCTTCAAAAAAAATCTAATTTTCCATTGTTTTCCAAGTGGAATGCCTACAGTATCGCATCCGGGAGGTATAGGTGTGGAGTCAAAACAGGCATGGAGCCCAGTGGCCCCTTGCGAATTCACAACAAAACTGAGAAAAGCCACGATTATCTGTACTATACCTGAAGAAGGAATGCTCATACCGAGAAGGGTTACCCAGGGTATGTCGCTACATTCAGAGTAATGTTTGCCCTACAACGCCAAGTTTCTGTTCGAAGTGGCCAATCATAACCATACACGCTAGGTATTCAATGTAATCATTGCCGGCTAGAGCAAAATAACCCTGAGTTTAATACAACTTTGGAGATGCACGTATCAAAACAAGGATAATCATGAAGCTCTTCCCCAGTATAATCCTCTTCCGTCTGTCTGGGACTTCATTCTGAAATGCTTCGGGCAAGTTTGACCTTTGAAAACTATAATTGGATTTCCCTTCCTCAGTTCCTTTTCCTAGCGATGACATCCCCCGGTTCATGTTTTTGTTGTTTTGCTCCTCTGATGTTGCTCCAGCCGCCTTCCCCTACGTGTCTGCACTCTAGCGCTCACGACAGAGAATTGTAGGAAGTAGTCATGACTTGCACCAGAAATTCGATAAAGCCAGAGTTGAAGGATCGAGAATACAAGCCGAATTAAAAGCAATGGCTACCACATCAGACCAAAGCCGAAAACTCATTATACCTTGAGAAGGCTTGACTAATACGAACCCTTCGCTTCATTTCGGCCAGATCGTCAGGGTCACACTGATGAAATTCTTCCGCTCTCTCATGTCATTCCAACGTCCCTCAGATTGAATGTGAGGCTCCGAAAGTCAAAAAACATTGCAAAACATTACTGTTTCACATTTATTATCAAAAATCTCTTTGAATAACTTTCTTTCAGAATGCAATAAGAACAAAAACAAACCATTAGAATTCACAACAAGATCATTCACCAGGAAACAAAAAAAAACGACCAACTATCATAATTGCAATCGCTCCACAAAGATCATACATATCAGCGACTACCACAGTTACTGATAATCAATGCCAAACAACAATGACAAAAACCTAACCACAAAAAAATAATGAAAGTTAAGATCAATGGAATTACATGAGTACAACATTACTTTCCAAATTCAAGAGTCCACAGTCGCCGCCTCTGCTTTCTTCTCTTCGAATGGACTTGGCTTTTCAGGCTGTAAATAAAAGGAGAGCTAAGGATTCAATGAAGTCTTTCTGAGCTGTTGAAAAGAAACATCCAGAACCACTAAAATACCTCTGTCACATCGGAGATTTTCGAGAAGAGGTTTTTATATCGCTTCTTATCACGCTCCAACTGTTCTTTCATCATCTGGCGAACGACAAGAATCTGCTGAGCAGCAGCCTGTAGCGAAACTTTTATTAAAAAACGAATGCGGATAAAAAATTTGAAAACCATACTTTGTTTTCTGGATCGACCTCCAGGATCCTCTCATACATCTTTTTTGCTTCATCGAAATCGGATAGAGCTGCTCTTGCGCCAGCCTTACGATAAAGAGCTTTTACATTGCTGGGCGAGAGCTCGAGTGCCTGAAAACGCACAACTCATTACCAATTCGAATGTACATGGGGGCCATGTACTTACCTTATCGCAGTACTTGATGCAGTCCAACATCTCTCCCATTTTCGATGCCGTTAAGGAGAGGTTCAAATAAGCGGCAAGCATCAAATCGTCACGAGTCTAGAAAGAACAGGCTGACTTTTGAAACCAACGAAGGCTCAGACGTAACAGCTCGTATTATGTTTGGTGAAAAAGCTTCAAAACATGTCGTGCAAAAGTTTTGCAACAAAAAAATTAGAAGATATACCTTCTTCTGTTCGGGGTCCATGCTCTTTTCAAATTCCAGAATATCCTCAATNCGCCAGCCTTACGATAAAGAGCTTTTACATTGCTGGGCGAGAGCTCGAGTGCCTGAAAACGCACAACTCATTACCAATTCGAATCAACATGGTGGCCATATACTTACCTTATCGCAGTACTTGATGCAGTCCAACATTTCTCCCATTTTCGATGCCGTTAAGGAGAGGTTCAAATAAGCGGCAAGCATCAAATCGTCACGAGTCTAGAAAGAACAGGCTGACTTTTAAAACCAACGAAGGCGCAGATGTAACAGCTCGTATTATGTTTGGTGAAACAGCTTCAAAACAATGTCGTACAAAAGTTTTGCAACAAAAAATTAGAAGATATACCTTCTTCTGTTCGGGGTCCATGCTCTTTTCAAATTCCAGAATATCCTCAATTCGCTTGTATTTATTATAAGCAAGCTTGAGCTTATTTTGTTTCAAAAATGCTGTGCCGCGTTCTTTAGCCAGCGTAGCCTCTTCGAGCTTCTTTTCTGCCGTCATCTCCCATAGCGCAGGCACCTTAACATGAACTCAATCGTAAAGCTCAGGAACTTAAAGAACTACGATTCAGAAACATACTTTTTCAAAACTTTTCAGGAAAATAGTGAATTCAATAGTGGCATTTGGAGGTAGGTTATACTCCGGCGGAGGGTTAGAACCGTAAGTGTTCCTCAAAGAAAAGCAAAGCATGATAAAAGATTTCTGCACAGATTCTAAATATCCCTCGAGTCTTATACCTACTTCGTTCCGGATAAACGTATTGTAGATTTTTCCCCTCGACAGAAGCGGCGCAAAGCTCGGTCGACACCTTCAGGAAGTCCTACCTGAAAAAAAAATTGTTGAACTTTTAGGAGCTGAACGAAAAAGACGCAGCTTTGGCTTCCCGGCAGTTAAAGCTAATGATAGAGCGCGATTGAGTATCGTCATCCCAATTGGTGAGTAACTACGCTAAAAGGGCGAGAAGTTACGTATTGCAAGAATCGAATCTAAGCCCGTTTGTTTTCTCCCTTCTTCAGACGAAATGAGCGAAAATGTGGAGTTTTTTCTATATGGACAAACATTTTAATTCCTTAACAAGATTTGGTCCAATTTTTCGACCATTCTACCTATCACACTCTTATTAACTTAGTAGGCTAGGAATAAGAAAACTCGATAACATGCATAAACAAAGCAAGGAGTAATTACCTCTGAACCTTCTCCCAGAACAAATGTGACCTCCTTATCGTAGAAAACTCGACCTTCATATGAACCAACAGCATGGACTGAAAGCCGTAATGTTGTTATTCAGATCCATTACTTTACTAATAAAAGAAAAACTATGTGATGCCAATATCTCGACCTTATCATTCTTGTCTTCACCCTCACTGATACCTTCTATCCGTTACCGTCAGGAATATCAAAAGGTAGTGCCTTAGATGCGTAAAAACCTGCTTGTAGCGTTTTTGTTGAGATGAGCTTTACAAAGGATTACATATACTTCCACGTAGCAACTGTCAAAGCGTAGGAAAAGAGCATATCGTCAAATACACCACCACTGTCAACGAGCTTAGGTCCGCAAAGAAGCTAATGAAATGAAAATTTAGAAGTGCGGCCTCATGCGCTTTTAGCACAAACCGAAAATTTCTCGGAAACCTCCAGCTTTAATCCCTGAGGAAATTGTTCGGACGGGAGGATGAAAGAACTATAATAAATCTTATTTGCGTCTAACAAAGCATGCGCAAGACTAATGCTTATCAAACAGTTCAATCACTGCAAACAACTAGGGCACATCGTTAATAGCAAGGTATGGTTCAACGTCATGGGCCACCCATAGCTCACGTGGTCACTTGTGAGAACGTACCATCAACAGGACTTGTTTCACTTGGATTTGCCAATTTTTCTCCTTCAACAATAACTGAACGTAAGATTGTTCCATCACGGTTCGGCGAAATATCTTCAGCTGACCAATCAATGAGCTCCACCTAGGCTTGCCATAATATTTTTAGAAAATTCACGTGTACGCGATAACAGGTGATATTACCTCAAAATTCAATGTGGCATTTGGTGGAATTTTCGGCATACTTCCACTTTCTCCGTATCCATAATCTGATCGAATTTTGAAGTCGGCAATCTCACCTTTCTTCATTGTAGCTACACCAATGTCCCATCCCCTGATGACCTTAAATTGAGTAAATAAGAAGACGAACATCATGACTTACAAAAAGAAAAAAATACCTGTCCACGACTCAACAGAAATTCAAACTCGGTACCTCGCTCGCGACTTGAGTCGAAAGTTTCACCATTTTCCAACGTTCCCACATAGTGTACCTGCAAACAAAAAACCTTCCCGTCCAGACGATCTAAGCCTTATGAGAGAGATGAGCAGTCAGTTGAAGGGGTCACTTTTACACACCTTTACGGTGCAGCCTAACATATCTAGAGTCAACTACACAACCAGTCATGGTCTACCGAGTTCCGGAACGAATGAAGTCAACAAACGACTAGCGCAGCTATCTTCAGATAGCTATCAGCCGGCACTACACACAGTTGGCAGGAATGACCAATACTCCCACTATGTTTTATTAGCGACTCATTAGTGAGGATTACCTTAACAGTTGTTCCGGGAGTCGGCTTAGCTGATCCAGTTCCTTCTTTCTTAATTGTTTTCAGGATACCTCCATCCTAGAAAGTAAAAAATCATTGTAATATAAAAATAGAAAAATTACAGGTTCGAAGCCTTCCAAAGTGAGTAATCCACACTACCCATATTACTACTACAACTGGTAATATTACAGTTAGGTGAAAATGTAGTTGGGGGGTGCCAGCGCCCATTTGTACTCTGCGTCTCTGACACTGGCGGCAGAGTGCATAGAGATCGTACAGATGGATTCCTCCCCTTCTAAAAGTTAGAGGAGGAGCTCCGGGGTGGGAGAGATGAATATTTCGTGCAAAAAGCTGGGATGGGGTAAAAATTGAACATCCAATTGGTTCCCTAACTTTTGGAAGGGGAGGAGCTCCGGGGTGGGTGAGCTGATTAGATGGGTAAGAAATGAAGAGACGCAGAACACAAAAGGTTGCTGGCACCCCCCAACTACATTTTCACCTTACAGTTACATTACTATTAGTTACAACAGTTACCTTATTAGGAGTAATATCGATCGGCTCACTAGCAGCCATGGCGTAGGAATCAAATGAGAAGCCTGGAATGAAGCACTTTAAATATTGGCCTGTTTACAGGTATTAACAAGTCCATGTATTTTCAACATGTTGCAGTTGTTTACAAAAGCAACGAAGTAACAGAACAACATAAACAACTAACCAATTCCAATCTATACAATGAATTCAACTATAATGCACTAAACAATTTGTACAAAGCCTATACAATTGGCAGAGATTCAAAACTCAAAAAACTGATGATTT